GAGGATGTGGAGAGAAGGGAACTCTCATACACTGCTGGTGGGAGTGCAAACTGGTGCAGCCACTATGGAAAACAGTATGGAGATTCCTCAAAAAATCAAGAATAGAACTACCATACCAGCTATTCCACTGCTGGGTATTTATCCAAAGAACGTGAAAACACCAATGCTTAAAGATACACGCACCCCTCTGTTAATTGCAGCATTATTCACAACAGCCAAGATGTGGAAACATCCTAAGTGCACATCAGGGGAAGAACGGATAAAGATGTGGTATTTATACACAATGGAATACTATTCAGCCATAAAAAATGATGAAATCCAGCCATTTGTGACAACATTGATGGACACTCAGGGTGTTATGCAAAGTGAAATAAATCAGAGGGAGAAGGTCAAATACCGTATGATCTCCCGCATTAAGTAGTGGATAATAACAACAAACAAACACATAGAGACAGAGATCGGATTGGTGGTTACCAGAGGGGAAGGGGGGAGGGAGGAGGGCAAAAGGGACATGTGTGTGGTGATTGATTGTAATTAGTATTTGGGTGGTGAACATGATAACATGATGTAATCCATGCAGAAATAGAAGTATAATGATGTACACCTCAAATTTATACAATGTTATAAACCAATGTTACCACAATTTAAAAAAAAGAAAGAAAAGAAAACATTGGCTTTTGTAGCTTTCCTTCACCAAGCATATGACAGTTTAACAAATCTAAACTTTGTTTTTTCCATTTTGGTTTTTTCCCCCCTTACATTCTCTACTATGATTTATTTTTGAAGAAATATGATGAGAAAGAGAATAAAGACCTACTTCTTGGTTTCATATTGACCCACTCTTCAAGTGGTATAAACTTCTAGTTACATCTCAAGTAGGATATTTAACTATGCTATTAAATTATTACAGAACATTTCTTTGTGACGTTTCATATAAAGGGTAGATTATAAATACTTAACCTTACTCACCTGGAGAAGTCAAGCCCTTTAAATATCCAACAACATTAGTAACTGTTTTGAATTTTGTGACTGTCTGAACTTGCAAGTTGACCATTCTTTCTTCTGAAAAAAACAATTTTAAAAGATGCTTGTTTCTCTATATTTTGTTGTGTGTCTTTTCTTAAAACACTCAGATTTATTTATCCAGTATCATCAGTGAAAGAACTCCAAACAATTGAATTTTTCTAGATAACCAAAGATACACTTTTTTGACAACTATTTACTCAATACTTTGAGTAGACTCTATTTGAAGGTGCTTGTTAGGCAATGATGACTAAGATACAATTGCTAGCCTCATAGCACTGCAGAGCCATAAATAGGCAATTCTGAACTTCATATTAGGAGCTACAATGGGGTTCAACATGAGAGCAAACAGAAGACCTCAGGAGATGTAGGCAACTCATATTTTAAAAAAAGAAAAAAAAAATCACATAAAAATATTTCCAAAGAACTTAAAGTACTTCTCTAGCTTCAGAAAAAGAACATGTGGAAGATAATTTAACTTTTCCTGTATGACTCATTATTACATTATCACTCTCAAAACTGTAAAGCATTATACAAATTGAAAGAATGAAGATTCTTAAAGCTATACATATTTTCAAATATTGGAGTCTTCATTCCACCTGTATTTGTCGCTTTCTCACCTCTATTCTAAATCTCCATCAATTGCTCTACCAGATTGAGTTCTTCCATTCATGCTTGATATTCAAAAGTTTTGACAACAAATAAAGCAAAGACAGCAATCTGGAAGGAACCAGTCACGGCCCTAAAGTGGTCTTTGAAGGTCTTTGGTGGTGACGTGTTAATCCTGTACTTGATGGACCCTGGGAAGTCTGGGGGGACTTCTAGGGGAGGTTCAAGGGCAGCCAGGTGATACCATTGGGGAGGAGGTGGTCGTTAGAAAGCAACTAATGCAAAGTAGACACGCTATACTGACAGGCCTTCAAATGTCACTTCTTACTGCCAGATGAAAATTATTATGATAAATAAGTTGCTTCTTTCCTTGAATGTAACTTACTAACAATTTAAATGGAAAAGGAGTATACTGAATTTGTTAAAATTATTACTAAAACAAGAGTAAAGAGTCCCTGAGAGAATGCCTGAGAGCAACATGTGTGAGAAAAGGAAATCTGCCTGGAGTCTGAGTATTGCGGTTCTAATGCATAGGTGCTATGCATTTTTGTTTGTTTTAAATTAATATACTTCATTTTTTAGAGTGGTTTCAGATTTACAGAAAAATTGAGCAAAAAGTACAGAGTTCCCCAATATCCTCTCTCTCCCTGACCCTATTATTAACATCTTGCATTAGTGTGATCAACATTTGCTACCACTGATGAGCCAATATTTTGTTGTTGTTATTGCCATGCAGGCAATTCTGAATCCTAGCAACCTTGTGTACAGCAGAACGGAACCCTGCCCAGTCCTTTTGTGCTATCCTCTCACATTCTGGCACTATATCAGACAATGCTCCACTGCTTTCACATGGTTTTCATGGCCATTTTGTTTGGAAGTGGGTGGCCAGGTCCTTCTTCCTAGTCTTTCTTATTCTGGAAGTTCTGCTGAAACCTGTCTATCGTGGGTGACCCTGCTGGTATTTGAAACACCATAAACAAATTCTACTATTATACAGGCTTTGACGTTTTACACAGATTACATATCCTTTTTTTTCCCCGCTCAACATTATATTTTTCACAGTGAAAGTAAATTGAAAGTAAATGGAAATCTAGATTATTCATTTTAACTACTAAGTAGTATTTGGTTGTAGGATCAAATTCAGCTTATTTTCAAGTTCTATTACTGAGAGTTAATGAGGTTGTTTCTACATTTTCAACATTTCAGTGTGACAAAGAAAATTTTTACGTGGCTCGTGCACATATAACATACTTTATACAAATAGATAACTAGAAGTAGAATTTCTGGATTATAATACATGAGCATCTTCAACTTTATTAAGTATGAGAAGTTGCTCCTCAGACATTTTAAATTTTGACAATCTGATGGGTATAAAACTCATTATTGCTTTAATGTGCATTTCTCTGATTACTAATGAGATTCAGCAATTTTTCATATATATATCCATAATTCAAGTTTCTTACTCATATTCTTTGGCCATTTTCCTTTGAGTTGTTTGTCATTTGGGGTATTGCTGTGGGGGTTCTTTTTTTGAATATTATTTTCTTATTAGTAATATGTATTATAAATACTTTTCAGTCTGTGGTTTATATTTTCTCAATATTTATTATATTTTAAAATATTAATATGGTCATATTTATCAATATTTTCCTTGAGTTTTTGTGGGCATTTTTATGTTTGTTTTGTTTAGTTTTGCTTGGGCAATACTTCCTTATTTTGATGTCATAAAAATGCTCCTCAAGTATTTTAAAGCTAAATTTTCAAATTTTTGTCTTTAATAAAACCAAAATATGTTATGAAGTAGGCATTAAATTTTACCTCTGCCTTATGGCTAGTCCGTTGTTCTCATGTAATTCATTGAATAGTAATTTTTTTTCCTTCATAAAGTATTAATGAAGCTGCTGTCATATAATGAGATCTAATTTACACATGGATTTGTTTTTAGCCTTGCTATTGTATTTCATTTTAACCAGTGCCATACTGTTTTAATTAATATAACTTTATAATAACTGAAATGATGGGGACTCTATCATCATCATCATCATATAATTATTATTCAATTTGGAGGGTATTTATGGACCACTATTTTCATATTAAGTTTTATATTAGTTTGTCATGTACCTTGAAAAGACATTTCAGGATTTCATTAGGATAACATTAAATTAATGGACCCATTTGAGGAAATTATATTGAGTCTTCTATCCATGAATATTTTATGCCTCTCAATTTATTTTAGTTGCTTTTATTTCTTTTAATAAAGTTTTATATTTTTCTCCCAAAAGTTCTACACAACTATTATTAAATTTATTTTTATGATTTTTCTGCTTTGTTAACAAAATATAACATTTATAACTTATTATATTGTATATAAGCATGCTATCATTCTATATCTTGCTTTTATAACGAGCCTCCTTTTTAATCTCCTCTAGGTTCTAATAGTCTATAGTGTTTTTATTTTTGTTAATTTTACTGTAGACTACTTACCAGAAAAAGATAGTTTGTTTATGCCTTTCAAATCTTTAGAGCTTTTGGTTTCTTCTCTCATCAGCTTCTCTAGGACTGCTGGTGCACTGTGGAGTGGAGGCAGCGAAAGTGGCATCCCTTGTTCCTTGCCTTTTGTTCTTCACTTTAAAAAGAATGTTTCTAAAATTTTATTATTTTTTAAAAAGATGTTTGCTGTAGGTTTCTGGGAAATTCCCTTTATCAGAAAAAGGAAGATCACTTCAGTTCTTACTTTGCTAAGAGGTTTTATCATAAACAGATGTTGAATCATCTTTTGAGATATCTGTAAGGCTTTTCACTTTACAATGTTAAGAAATGCATATATTCCTGGAATAAGCCCTACTTGTCATGATATGTTTTCTGTATTTGGTTACTAATATTTTTAGAATATTTTCATATATATTTATAAGTGATTTATTGATAATTTTACTTCTCATTTGTTCTTGTCTGTTTTTGGCATCAGGATTATACTACCTCACAAATGTTTAGGGATCTTGGCTGCTTCTTTTCTTAGATTCTGTAAGTTTATGTAGCACAGGCATTATCTATTTTACAAAGGAGTGTTAGGATTCATATAGAAAACTATCTGGGCTTGGTATTTTTTGTGTGTGTGGAGAAGGAGGGTACATTTTTACTTAACATATATTTTCACTTCATTTTACTTAATATATAAAATAAATATTATTAATGATTATAAGTATATTTAAATTTTTAACATGTTTATTTCTCCTAAATTTATTTGCATTTAGTTGTTCATTGTATTCTTTTTCTTCAAAAAAAGTCACTGTCATTTATCTATAATTTTGTCCCCTTTTCTATTTCTAACATTAACTTACTTATGTCTCTCTTTTTTTCCTTCATCAGTTTTTCTAGAGGTTAGCTACTTTATTAGTATTGTCAAAGAACTAGTTTTGAGGTTTGTGGACCCCTCATTATTTTTTTCACTTCAACATTATATTCTATGCTTATTATTGCCTTTGTTAAATTTATCTGAATATATTCGGTCGTTTTTTTACATAACCTTAAGTTAAATGCTTAGCTTATTACCTTTCAATCCTTATACATATAAATGCATTTAAGGCTGCAGATTTTCTATGTAGCTGTAGTATATTAATTTGATACATGGTCTTATTATAGTACAGATTCTAAAATGTTTAATTTCTATTATAATTATTTCTATAGTATACGTATTAGTTCAAAAAAATTTTAAATATTCAAATACAAAGTGTAGGTTACTGTTTTGATATTGATATATAACAATTTAATTATGGACAGAAAGGTCCGCATGCTGATACTTTGACATTAGGTGAGATGTGTGCTGTGACTATACAGGCTATTGCATCTTATAAATAGAGAATAAACATTTTTATAAGTGTTCCATATAAAGAATGTGCATTCCTTATTATATGGGTGCAGCATTTCATATATATGTACAGTAGATCATGCCTTTGAAAAACAGGTGGCTATAACTTTGTTAATTGTTCCATATATTTTCTCTGTTAATTATTGAGACATGTTAAAGTTTCTCATATGATGTTAATTCATCAGTTTCTCCTGGCAATACTATAAAATTTTTCTTTGGATATTTTTAGACTAGTTAGTTATGTGTATACAAGTTTGGAATTGTTCTATCTTTCTGATTTCTATATAGAATATAGAAAACAATTATTCCTTATATCTTCTTTATGCCAATTTTTTTCTAAAGTCTCTCCTGTTCTGATATTAATATAATTACTCCAACTCTCTTTGGCTTAGCATTTCTCTGATACATATTTTTCCAGCATTGCATTTACTTTTGCCAGGCATCCCAGGGGCATCTCTGGCTTGGGGACAATTTTTATGCTAATTTCTTGACCTGGTGTTTCTATACTCCAATAGTAGCGAAAATTCTGAGCCATGGTTTTTGATTTTTAAAGGTAGATTTTTTT